GGGGGGGGGGGCGGCGGCGGCCTTGCACCTGTTTGTGCGCCAGCTTGTGCGCCAACGCCGCGCCCAATCCCCCACCCGACCCTCTCTTCCCGGAGGGTGAAGGGCAGCCACGAAGTGCAAGCCACAGGGCCGGCCGTCTCGGCTTGCCGAGCCGGCGTTGCTCCCTGGACCCTTTTTTCCCCCGTTCCCTGGCTCTCTTTTGTTCTCGCCCGGCAAGAGGTGCCGCCTGCCATCCAGGGGGAGGGGGAACCGCGCGAAAAGCGATGTATTTCAGGGGGCGATACTTGAAAATGTATCACGGGAATCAGCCTGGGAGATTCCTGATCCGGATGACCACGTGTCGGTGTGTCTCCCCTTGTAGATCGGCCGGATCCATGCTCCCCAAACGGCCAGCGGCGCGCGTCCTGATCCGCTGATAGTGGCCGGCCTTTCCGAGAGGGCTCCCACAGGATGCATGCCGACGACACCCACACGCACACGCACACACCTACACATCCGAAACAGACGCAAGGCACAACCTTTGGAGAAAAGAAAAAGAAGAAGAGAAAACAACAACAAGTTCTATGCATTTTACCCGGACCGCAAGGAAAAGAAGAGGCGAACCAAAAACGCATGCATCCCCATTTCCTTCCTCACGGTCGGTAAAAGGTTGTGCCAGGGGGCAAGAAGAGGGGGGGGGGAGGGGGCAAGGAATCCCAACGAGAGTGGCGAGCAGCGAAGCCACACGCCGCTCCCTGCCCCCCGCTCCCCGCCCCCCGCCCCCCTCCTGGAGACACAGAACAATGGACTGGATTACTCTCTCTCTCTTTTCGGGGAAAACTGGGCATTTGAGGGAAGGGGGGAAAGCGCACGAACTGTGGCTGTGCGCTGCTGTTGGACAAGGGCTATCTCAGAAAGGGGGGACAACACAGAGAGAGGGAGAGAGAGAGGGAGGGGGGAGGGAGGAATTGAAAACAAGAGGCAAAAGGAGGAGAGATGGCGGGGGGGGGGGGGGGAACCAGTATAGATAGTGGGATATGGGCAACGCGCGGCCACAGCGCGCGCGCGCGGAGCGAGGCGCCTGCGCCTTGGCAAGGAGAGGGAGGAGGGGGAGGAGGGGGAGAACATTGCGGAAGCTGAGTCTAGCGCTTGGACAGGGTCTTCTGGATGAGAGCATATAGCCGATCGGGGAAGAGCTCAGCAAAGGTCAGGGAGACCAGCTCGGCGGACTTGTGCATGCGAAGAAGTTGCTCCGGGTGGACCTCCACCGAGCACAGAGGCGTCGGCCGGCCCTTGTACATGAGGGTCACCATGAAGGACCCCTTTTCGGCGGAGCAAAGCTCGAAGTAGGTGTTGCCCTTGCGATACTCGGGGACCGTGCTGGAGGCAATGATCTTCTCGCGCTCGAAGTCCACATGGGAAAACTTGTGCGGGGCTGGCTGGACAATCGGCTGTGACACATTGGTCAGGACATCTTCGTAGGACTTGATTTGGGCCTCGATATGCGCGTAAAAGTCCGCATGGAAGCGGTACATCTTTTCCAGCGCCGAATACTCGGTCTCCATCTCCTTGCGAATGCGGTTCAGCTCGTCCATGTCGGACTGGATGTCGGCCACCAGCTGCCGGTAGATCTCCTCGGCTGTCCGCGGGCCCTCGGTCAACAGCTGGCTGAGCTTGACCCGGGCAATGGCCGTCACCTCGGGGATCTCCTTGTGCACTTGGACATTCGACCCAAAGAGCAGGATGGAGTAAATGCCAGACGAGACCAACTCATCGGAGAAGGGCCGGTCGGCATAGCGGACGATCTTCACCAGCAGCGAGCGAACCTCGTCATAGAGATTGACCGCGGTGTGTGTCGGCTGCACGGCCGTGTCGATGTCGGTGGGGATCGGGAGCTTGAGCTTGGTGGTGAAGTTTTTGGCCCGAGCCAGGGCAGCCGGCGGCTCGCCCAGGGCCTTGAGCACCGCGTGCAGCGGGTCATCCTCGGCCAGGGGGATGGCATCGCGATATTTGACAATCAGCCCATGCATCATGTACACCTCGTTGATGGTAATCGACAGGGTAGCCGTGTGGGGGCTGCTCAGATAGAGATGGTGTGGCTGGATGTCCTCGGCCACACAGAGGTTCCGATAGAAGTTGACCATGGCCTTGCGGTGTTTGGAGAGATGCTCGTTGAGCGGCGACATGTATGTCTCCTTGGACTGGAGGACCTGGTTGGTGATGCTCTGGATGACCTTGGCGATCTGTGCGCGTGTGTACGAAAAAGAGCAACAGGAGGGGGTCAGTTGCGAGGCGAACAAAAGCATATCCCGGGGGGGGGGGGGGGCCTGCACACGGGGAAGAAGGGCGGCAGGCATACGAGTGCGTGACATACCAAGGTCAGAGAGCGCTTGGCATTGACCGAGCGCACGCTCTCCGAAAGATGCATGTACGCGCTCGGGGTGACAATGGCCGGGTTGACAAAACGCAGCATGTAGAACCCACCCACCAGCGAGAGGAAAAGCTCATCCGACTCGGAGGGGAAGCGCTCCTTCGTCAGGAGCATGATCTGCTTGCAGATCCACCGCAGCCCAAAGGGAACGGTGGCCAGCGACTCGAGGATGGCATTGATGAAGGTGTCAATCCAGAAGCACAGCCGGTTGAGACGTGGCTGGAGGATCGGCTGGAGAACCGGGTCCAGGTGGGCATTGTCTCCGGAGAAGCCCTCAGTCGGGGGGAGGTTGGGGTTGGATGCAAAAAGCTGTACATGCCAGCATGTGAGTGCTCTGAAGGAGAGGGGAGGGGGGGGGGAGAGGAAAGGAAGCGGAGAAGGAAAGGACCCCGCGAAGAGGGAAATGCAAGGGGGCAAAAAAAGGGGGGGGGAGACAAATGCATGGATGGCAACATACCTTGGTGGGGTTGATTTCCAGGTCGGCGTTTTCGCGCACGAGCTCCGAGATCGGGGCCGAGAGGAGCGACTGAAGATATGACTGACCAGGGCCGCGACTGTGTGTGTGTGTAAGAGAGAGAGAGAGAGAGAGAGAGTAAGCGTGTGCCTGAGCGAGGGAGGGGAGATAAGCCAGGACAGGGGCCGCAGTTGGACATATGGCCGCGCGTAGAGGTTGACATGAGAGGGGTGTGTCTTGCTCATGCTCTCTGTGCCACGGGCTCAAACGCACCGGGTGTATGTGGAGAGGACACGCGAGGCATTGGTGTTGGCGCGCAGGATGGAATTGGTCTGCTGCTCGGAAGCATCGTTGAACTCATTCCGAAGGACAACCTGACAAGAGGGGGACAGAGTCAGCGCCAGGACGTGGGACTGCAGGGGGAGTGGAATATATGGGGGATGTAGGGAGGGGAGAGAGAGAGATATATATATATGGAGATCAAGCGCACCTGGATAATCAGCAGCAGAAGACTCTCCTCGCGGGTTTCATACTGGTGGCCGAAAATCGTGAAGAGCATCGTCTGCAAAAAGGGATCCACCTCGGCAGTGGAGATGGCCCGCGTGAGAATGCCCAACAGCTGGGGATTTGTCTGGAACATGTAGAAAAGCTTGGCATAGTTGTCGTGGAGCTCCGGGTCCGAGAAGCCCTGCATGGCAGGCTCATCATCCAGCTGACGCTGGAAGTCCAGCTGATGAAGGGAACAGTCGAAGCGCAAGTGTGTGTGTGTGAGAGAGAGAGAGAGAGAGAGAGAGAGCGTGGGTATGGATGCGCGGGTGTGTATGTTTTCGCATGCATGCAGGTGTGTATGTGTGTGTGTGCACTAATAGGGCCCCGCGAGAGAAGGGGGCTCGGTCGACCAGGTACGTACCTCGTCTCCCCCACGATAACCGCGGACAAGGAAGCCAATCCGCTTGTCATAGTTGTTGAGCTTATTACGGAGCTCGAAGTTCCGGTGGTTCAAACTCGAAAGATCCTGTTTGATCTTGACCAGGTCATCATACACTGTGCATGCATCGGGGCGGGGGGGCCGGGAGAGCCGACACACGAGGAGGAGAAGGGGCGTTGAATGGGGAGTCAGTGGAGAAGGGCATGACCCCACCAAAATGCGGACAGGGAAGCATGGGCGGATGAGCAGCCTAGCGAGCGAGCGAGCGAGCGGATACGCGAGCAGCACAGAGCACGAACAGTCGATCAGGGGAACCACACAACCTGGGGAGGAGGTGCGGGCTACCAGATGAAGACACAACAACACACACACACACGCGCGCGCGCACACACACACACACACACACACACACCGAGGACAGTGCGCCAGGGAGGGGAGGGCGGGGAAAGAGGGAAAGAGGGGGGCGGGAAGGTGGAAAAGAGAGCAAGCGGAGGGGAGCGAGGAGAGGGCCGAAGAGGGGGAAGGGGGGGGGGAGAGGGAGTTGGATGCCGCACGGGCCTCGACACCTACGGGCTCGGAGGCCTGGCTGAAATGGAACAACGAGGGGAGCCGGGGCATTTCCCGGAGGTGACGTGACACAGGAATGCGCCAGGGGCGATTCCCCGAAGATATTTACGCTCGACAGGGGAGGGGGGATGGGGAGAGGGGTCCGGCGTGGAATCAGCGAGGGAGAAGTCAGGCGCAAACGGACACACCCCCGCCCGTGCGCGCGCGTGCGCGTGCGAGCGAGGG